CCGCTTCCGTGCCCTCTTCACGCTGCGCGGCCTGGGTGGCGCCGCCGCCGTGCGCTGGATCAGCCGCGGCTTCGATGACAGCTCTGCGCTGCTCAAGCACGAGCTCGCCTACTGCCTGGGCCAGATGCGCGAGGCCGCCGCCATCCCCGTGCTGCTGCGCGTGCTGCAGGACCCGCGCCAGGAGCCCATGGTCAGGCACGAGGCGGGTACGTGGCGGCCGGCGGGGCCTGCTTTGGGCCCTGGCGCCGAGAGGGAGCTGGGAGGCACCTCGGAACCTCCATTCAAGCAGAGGCCGGGGCCTGCGGAACGTCACGGGGAACGTCACAGCTTGGGAAACCCTAACGGGTGTCAAGAGCCCCCAGGCTGAGCAGCCCTACTGCCCCCGCCGTGCGCGAGGGCCTGGCCGTGCCCCGCGAGAGCTGTCCGGGCCGGGGCCGTCACCGATCCCGAGCAGCAGGAGGCCTGGCTGGAGCAGGTCCCGGCATCCCTCAGTGAGGACGGGCCCCCGCCTCCTTAGGTACCTTCACAATGTCCTGACGTCCTTCCTTAAGGTGAAGCCTTGGGTGCTATTGGGAATCCGGAGGTGCTGGATGTCCTGAAACGCTATTCGGAAGACCCCGTGGTCGAGGTGAGGCTCCCTGCGGGTGCTCTCCTATGGGATTCGGTGCTGGGGGGGTCGGTGCAGAGCAGCATCCGTGCTGGGCGCCAGCACCGCGTCCTGCGGCCGGGACTGTCCTGCGTGGGCGGCAGTTCCTGGAGCCGAGGGCCAAAGCGGGGAAGCGCGTGGAGCCCGGTTGCCCACGGAGCAGTCCGGACCGGTCCCCGCAGGTGGCCGAGACCTGCCAGCTGGCCGTGCGGAGGCTGCAGTGGCTGCAGGAGCACGGGGAGGAGGCGGGCGGGAGCCCCTACTCGGCCGTGGATCCTGCTCCGCCCGCGGAGGAGACGGACGTGGCCCAGCTCCTCGAGGACCCCCTGGACGAGTCGCGCCCGCTCTTCGACCGCTACCGGGCCATGTTCGCCCTGCGCAACGTGGGGGGCCGCGAGGCAGCGCTGGCGCTCGTTGAAGGTAAGGGCAGCCCCACAGAGCCCCACGGAGCCACGGGGCAGGCGCTGCCATGCAGGGCCCCGCTTAGAGCTGCCCTCCTGGCGCTCGGGAAGAGCTCGCTGCTCCCCAGGGCTCTTTCTTGAGCAGCGGAGCATCTCCCATCCTTTCCGGTGTTTCGCAGCACCCTTTTTCAGTCCTTTCCCCATGGCTCCTGCTGGGAGAGGCCCTGACCCATCCCATCAGGGTTGGATTTCCTAGGGGGACCCGTGGGTTTGTGCCATGGCCCCTCGATGCCACAGGGGTTTCTCTGCGACCCCTGGGGCCTGTGCTGCCTTCTGTGCCTTAAGCTCCTAGGAGGTGGCCCAGGGGTCCCACCGTAGGCACGAGGGGGCTGTCACTGTCCCCCACGCTCATGGGGGCTGTCACCTGCACCGTGGCATGGAGCAGTGCCGCAGGCACCCACTCGCAATGACGGGGGCTGCTGGCCCCTGCAGGCCTGGGTGTCCCGCTGAGACGTGGACTGGGAGGGAGCAGTGTGGGGTGGGCACCCTGGGGGACAGCACGTCCTGTCCCCAAGGCCCTGGCGTGTCCCCAAGCCCCTGTGCTTGGCCACCAAGCCCTTTTC